GTGTGTGTGTGTGTGTGTGTGTGTGGGGGGGGGGGGTGTACACGTGGTGAAACACCAAACCAATGTGCCAGGATCTAGACAATAAAAATGTATCTTATCTTATCTTATCTTATCTTATCTTATCTTATCTTATCTTATGGTGCAAATTGTTATGTTTCAAGGGGAAAAAAAGAAAAACACAACAAGAAAAAGAGGAAATTGTTTAGTCGGTGACGACGACGACGACGACGACGACGACGATGATGATGATGATGATAATGATGATGATGATGATGATGATGATGATGATGATGATGATGATGATGATGATGATGACGATGATGATGATGATGATGATGATGATGCTCTAGTGTGGGAAATAATGTGCATGTTAATCTTAGTGTTAATGTATTTCACCTTTGGTTTGGCGCTTACTCTGGAACCCCGCCAGGCTGTTTCCTGGGGGAGGGGGGGGGGGGGGTGCAGGACACACACCTCATTCCCAACTCGTCGCACAGAGTGACCAAAAATTTGGAAATAATTCGTCATCTTCATCCTTAGCATTTAATAGAAGTATGCCGAAAATCATATGGGGACCGCTTTTAAGTGGTGACATTGTTAGTGTGTTTGTCGCCCTTTGTCTATAGTATCATATTTTGAAAACAGTGAAAGGAGTGTGGCCAAAAACCTGTGTAATATTCTTCATAGGCAATGTAGTTGCGTTCCGTAACAAAATGTTAACACGTCTAGGGTAACTTGTGTGCTTATAAGTTATCGCTGTCGGCATTCGCCACTGATCGCGAGGCACTTCTGCCATCGTTGGAGCATGTAAAAAGTCTGAAAAATCATGCAGAGTCGACCACAGATTATTTACATGTCCTTAAAGAGTTAATACTTGTCCGAAGCCAATGGTATACGTATCATACACTTTAATAGTTATTGCATATGTTGAGAACGTGCGCCACCATGAGTATGAGTGTACCAATACTACGATCAGTCCTTCTCCTCCACCTCATGCGTCTTCACTTCCAATCCTCCTCATCCTCCTCCTCCACCTCCTTCTCCGCCTCCTCATCCCGTTCCTCACCTTCCTCCTTCTTCTCCTCCTCCTTCTTCTCCTCCGCCTCATTCTTCTCCTCATCCCCTTGCTTCTCACCTTCATGATAGCCCACTAAACAGCATAGAAAACTGCTTGTGCATCAAGAACTCTTTCTCCACATGACATAACGCAGTCATAACAGTGGCACCAGGTAAGACTTCTTCCTAACGGAAAGGTCAGATATAAACACTGCAAAACACGCAGTGCTGACTTCCACTTTCTTTATATTCTGTTTATAATTTCAAAAGTCTGACTAATGCTTAAAAGAAAACAAACTTTCTCCACCGACCAAAAGCATACCGTTAAGATCAGAATAACAATCATCCGGGTTCCAGAGAAATGTGCTTTGACAACGGGACAGACAATGAAGGGCAGTGCACTTCAGCTCACAGCTGGTGCCATGAAACAGGAGAAAGTGGCGGAAACAATCCATTTTGCAGCGATGGCGATTGAAGGAATGTACATGTTCACAAAGAAGTGTAAAGACACGTGAAACGCAATCCACTTTATGAAAATAACTCTATTGTTCCATATTAAGAAAGGCTCAAACATGAGCTCTAAAACCAAAGAAGCGAGCGGAGGCAGAAAGTTCTTCTTTCAGAAAGTCTCAGGACAATGTCATAAGAAGCATTGAACTGATCATCTCCAAGAACACCCAGAAAGCAAATAACACGGAGGCAACGCATTAGGCCCGATAAAGGATGTAATGAAGAAATGTACACAACTAAACATACAGAAAAGTTTCTACTATTAATATATATATATATATATATATATATATATATATATATATATATATATATATATATATATCTATGGGGAGATACTGAATGTACCTGTAAATGTTTTATGCTTTATATTTTACACTACTACTACTACTACTACTACTACTACATTTAATAATAACTTACTTCCTCTCTCCATACCATCAGGCACATACGGCAAGGTGGACAGCAGTCGACGCAATGCTCACCTGTCCCTGGCCATCTCTTCCCCCACTCTGGCATATATCTATTCTAAGGCCAGGGTGATTGCGTCATCCCTGATTGCCGCTGTTACATCCAATTGTTCTACCTGTTTTTCTTTTTCCGGTTGGTCTTCAACAACAACAACAACAACAATTGTCGTCGTCGTCGTCGTCATTATTCAAAAATGAGACAATAATAGCCCTATATCAACATGTAGTTCGTCTGTCAATGTCTGACGATGACCAATACATGACATCCGCAGAAGAGAATATTTCTGAAGTGAAACAGAAGAATTAAAAGAAATAAAGCTTCAGATGACTTGTGGGTTCTGCTATGATCGATTTTTGCCACATTTTGAGAATTCAAAAACTCCAGTTCCACCTGTGGGTGTCGTGCAGCTTGCGGGCTTCTCTCTTGGTTTCATCATTTCTTATGCGTGAAGCAACAAAGGGAAAATAAAAAAAAGTAGGACCTACCATTGGCGCCCTTCAACCACCTGCACTTAACAGGTATGTACAGGACCTAAGATTTCGGTTTATCTTAGTGAAGACCAAACCAAGTAAATGGAAAGCCATGATGAAAATTTTCTAAAGAACCTTAGTCCAAAAACGTCCTATTTCGGCTTCAAACCAGGGTCATCCGCACCCAGACGGACAAATATCATACGTTATTGAATACATAAGCATTATATTATTGTGTTGTTAAAATGGTGAAATTTTAGCTTGGGGGTGCATGTCTTATGTTTATTATGTTGTTTGAAGCTTTATGACACAGAAGTTAAAAAAAAGAACATTTTCTTAATGTCATGTGTGTCATACGCTCCCACCAACAATTTATCATTTTAGTAGGCAAGTTTCCAATCCCGCCT